TGTTTTCCTTAGCATTTCATGGGGACCTGACTTGAGGGCTGAACCCTCCAGCCTATGTCTCCGTCAGGTCTTGCCTGACTCACCCTTGCCCCAGCCGCTGCTGGGGTCCCTCCAGCTTTAGGACTGGCCCCCTCCACAAGCTCTCAGGAACTCTGAGGCCCCCCAAGCAACCATCGGAGTCTGCGACAGCTCACTGGAAGCAGGTTGGATATTTTTTATCCCCCTTGGGAGTGCATGCCAGGACAAAGGAAGGAATGCAAGCGACTCCTGTGAACACTGCTGCAGAGCCAGCCCCCATTACCTGTGACCATACTCAGCCCATCCTCTACAGTGTTGGTGAAAAGGCAGAGGGGGAAAGGAGAGGGGTAATTCTTCCATATAAATCAGTGGGCTTTCTGATCCTATGTATGTCCAGGGCCTCAAGGCTAGAAGTTTAAAATCAAAGCTATAAATTCTCCACTTGTGTGTACATGTGTATGTGTGTGTGTGTTCATGCATGGGTGGCTGTATGTGCATAGACACATGCTTTCCAATGTCCAGATGGTGTTTCCAAATTAGATTATCAAATCTCTTTTGATAATCTATCTGATTAGCTTAGGGCTAAATAAGTGCTTATATAAATGACATATCCCTAAAACTTCATGAAATTAAAGAAATTCCTAATACTTTCAAAAGTATTTTATCAAGAAAAAACAAAATAAAAAAAAATCAGTTCACAATTTAAATAAACTTTCATAAAAGGCTAGTTTAACATTGTTTGCTTAATAAAAACAGGTGTATTTTCAGAGTTATCAGTATTAAGTCTAACACAGGCATACATTTTTGTTCAACTTAGACATAGTGGTTCTAAATTATATAGGCATACTGATTGGGTAAGTTAGCATATCACACCTGCTAGACGTTTAAAATTACAAAAATGTAAATTTGTTTTTAACAAATCATTATTATGATAAATTGTATTTCAATAGTAATTATGTTTTATCATAAGCCAACTTGAAATTGAAAAACAATTTTCAAGATCATTTGGTAATGTGAAACCTTAGGCTTTGTTAACTTAATTAATGTGTATTCACTAAAAATTTAGATCATTTCTTAAAGAAATCCATGAAAGCATGTTTTAAAATTCATATACTTTTTGCTTCTAATTTTTTTATAGTTCAAATTAATTTTATAGTGTATGGTTGTATATATTTGACCTGTTAACAAATATATTCACTTTTTCTACATTAAAACATTATTTCATATAAAACTGTGTGCCTATAAAAAACAAAATGTATATTCATAAATTCTGCAAATCTAATACAAAATGCTAATATGTAACAGTTTAAAATACTTCATAGTTTCTTTTTAACATAAAATTACTGTAATTAAAATTATAATTATATAAATAAGACTCTACTAAGAAAAATGATATAAGGTGGGCAAGATATAATTTTGTTTAAAAATATAGCTTTATCCTATAATAAAATGATTCATTGTTCCAAAAATACATAGACAAACTCTACGTGAATGTAACAAATCATTGAAAGAATCTCACAAAATATAGTTTGTCATGATGAATGCTGGCTAATATGGGGTTTATTCATGTAAGATTATTTTTTAAATTTATGTCAAATATCATACACATGAAAAACTAAAATTTGATTTTGTGTCTGTTAAAATGACTAAATTTTCTTGTATTACTGTTCTGCTCTTAATAAGAGTTTTAAAGTAAGTTTTCTTTGTTTTCTGGGTAATCTGCCTAAATGGCAACATTCTGAGTCTTTGAATCAGTCCTTTCCTGTGCTTTATGTTGATTTTACTACATTTTAATTATTAAAAAATGAAGAAAAAATCATAGAGCTTGCTCACTGTCATACTGAAAACTCCAAATCAACTATGGATGTTTACAAGAAAGACACAAGTCTAGGAAAAAAGATTGACAAATGTTAGCGAGTATCTCAGGCAAATGCAATAAAACTGAATGTAACAGTGTCCATATTACTATCAGCTAAGGTGAAATGTGCTAAAAAGCAGTAGGTAGGGCATAGTGAATAAAATAAAGTGATAAAAAGTATAATTTATTAAGGGACAAAATAGAAATAAATCCATATGTTCTAAAAAATAAAGCATAAAACTCATATAGCAAAAACTACCAAAAATATTAGACAGACCTGATTAAACACAATTACAATGGAAGCCATTAATGCACCTGTCTCAGAATTAAACATGTAGGGTGACAAAATTTTTAGTGGGTTTTTGTTATTTTTTATTGATGCTGTGGACTGAACTGTGCCCTCCCAAAATTCATTGATGACTCTCTAACCCTCAGGGTGATGGCATTTGTAGACAGGCCCATTGGGCGACAATTAAATCTGATGGTAGAGCCCTCATGATGAGATTAGTGCCCTAACAAGCATGAGGACCTAGAGAGATCTCTGTCTTCATCATGTGAGAAGATGGCTGTTTATAAGCCAGAAGGAGAGCCCTCACTGGAATCCAGTCTGACAACTTTCCCAGAATTTGAGAAACATCTATTTTTAATTCACCTAGGCTATGGTATAGTAGACTGAGCTAAGACATTTTGTTTCATTTTGCTATGCAAGCTGCCATCTCTTCCAATATTTTATGTTCAAATTCACTGCTAATAAAGGAAATACAAATTAGATTAATAGTGAATGATGATAGCATGTTTACCAGAATGGGAAAATTAAAGAGAATTATAATATTTTTTTCTAGCAGGGATGAAGGTAAATGTTAACTTGTATACTTTGTTTATAGAAATCAGAAATGCCCTAAGCTTTCTGCAAAGCAATCTAGCAACATCTGTTATCATTTATCACTTGGAATGCATGCACATTTTGAACCATTACTCCCACTGCTTAGAATCTTTCTTAAAGAAATTAAAAAGAAAAAACCTGATTAACTGCAGAATTGTCATGGAGAAAATAATAGAAACAGTAAATGATCATTCCTAGGGAAATAATTGATCGAATTATGGTATATCAACACAATGTAGTATTTTGATCGCTTCTTTGCTTCATCTATTCATTACTTCTACTCTCTTTCACTTAATGAAAACTTAACTATGTGTCAAGCTATGCTATGCTCCAGTGATACAGTGGTGTGTAAAGTCTATACTATTGCATTTATGGTTGTCTGGTAGGGTGACAAAGAAAGAGAATAAACCATATAAACAACTAGATTATCACTATGGTAGCTATTGAGAAATGTTATGAAGGAAAAATTAGCACAGAAAAGCAATGGGGATATGAAATCAGAGGGTTGGTTCATGGATTAGATACGAAGTTGGGACAGGACTCATGGAGCAGCAAGAGAGGACGTAAGGGAGCCAACCATTCTCTTTGGGGGTTTGTCTGACCTGTTCTAGTGGATAACTTCCTGTTGGAAATGTACTCCTACTTGACCTCTGATCATTTCAAGCAGTGTAAATATTCCTGTATCCAATTTTTAATTTGTTCTCCGAAGATACTCCACTCCCAAGGAGTTTCGTATCATTAACCTGCTATACGGACAGTGTCTCATTTTTTGAAAGAATAATGTAGGAAGGGAAATAATATTTATGAATGTGACCATTAACCAGGTGTTCTAAAGCTCTCCTTTTATCCATCTCCAAGTCTGTTGGGACCAGTAGTCTGAACTCAAGTTCAAAGGAGAAACTTGAGAGCAAGAAACAAAAATATTCAAGAATGAGAACTAGTGGACAGATACAGGTATGAATTCTTTAAAAAATCAGTTAAGTAAAGGTCTGGACAAACTTTCACCCACCCTGGATATGTATTTATAAATACAGGGGCATATATCATGTACTGTTTCTATAACATCTGCCAAAATGCAGTTAATAATTTTGAAGATAAACCTGAGAACTACTACTGCCGAGTGGGGAAAACACTGTAGTTTCTTTCTGAACTTCATAAGAAGAAACAATATACATAGTCATCACCCATTCAAAGGTAATTATGTCTGTTGATGGAAGCTTAATTAGATGGCTCAATTAGAAAGAATTATTACATTCTTTAAGAACATAAATAAGATCCATAAATACAAAAGGTTGGGATTATAGAAAATTCCTTGATGAAAACAATTGAGGCATTTTAGTAATTACAGATTACAGCTGACTGTGCCATCTTATGAAGCGATTTTGTTAGAAACTGGTGTTTGAGGATAGCAAGCAAGAGTGGATGGTCATGTCACAATAAGCAAAGGGAACACCTGGGACTTCATCAAGTGCAAGATGCTGCTCATAATTTCTGCCCCATCTCCTCTTCTTGTGATGTAGAGGGTTTTAAATGCTTATTTACATGCTTCGATCTTTGAAACCTCCCTAAAATTAGCTCATTTTCAATACTTACTCTTTCATGTACATTAAAAATGCAGTATTTTACAAATGAAAAAATATAAAGGGAAAGTTCATAAAATTATTAATAACAGGTGCCTTGCCAAGGAATTCAAAAATACTTTGGGGGGACTATACAGATGATGAAAAATATAAGATTCATACAGCTCTGAGTTTTTCTTCTTTCTTGTATGAATTGGTTTTTAGTGTGTCACTGAATGTATGTTTTTGTCTCCTGTCTTGGGTGGGTCAAATTAGAAGTGTCTGCAAAGCAATCATGAAAGGCTCATCTGGCGGGGTGGACAGGGGCGGGGTGTGCTGTCTTCTCTAAAAATTGAAGTTCACCAAAAGTCTTACCTTTAGGTCTTGTGTTCTCTTTACTACTTCTATCAAAACACTGAAAAACAGCCCTACCCTTTCAGTCCCACTGGAAGTTCAGTGCTGTCTTGAGGGGTGTTCTGTTCTCCGTCAGTCAGTTGTCACAAATCTCATTACTTCCTTGCACAATATTAGAGGTGTGTTTGGAAGGAACACCAATGTGCTGATTTTTGTTCTGCATCTAAGTAAAGGGTAAACTTTGAAATACATGTTTTGGTCTAAGTGATTTATTAGAAACAAAATCCCATATCAAAGACAACAGGTGCACATAAATTAGAAATCTTACTGCTCCTTTCGGGCCTCAGTAGTGCCTTTGTCTTCTTGTTCTGACTTCTGCCTTCATGAAGGGCCTTGAACCAGTCCCGCAATCTGTTTGCCACCTCCCTGAACTCCAGGCCACTGCACGCTAAAAACAAGGAGAAACAACACGGACCTTGAATAGAAACGGCAGTGTCAGCGCTAGCTCTCAAATTACCCCGATAACTGAAAGGTAACAATGACTATACTGAAAAATGAAATACAATTACTAATTGTGTTTTAGCTTCACAAAAACTAAAAATAAATGTTTAAACATAACACGATGTAACACAATTATAACATTTTATTTAATAATGGAACATATTAGTAGAAATCTGCTTCCTCTCTTCACTAGAATGTAATGCTTGATTGAGGATTCCTTTGTTAACAACACTTAAGTTGACTCATAATATTTACATGCTGGCCACTTTCATCACCGTTAAGTGGTGAGTCACCTGGGAAAATAAGCGGTTGAGAACCCAAAATGAATATTACTTTTATTATTAGCCATATCTTTTATAGTTTATGGTTTATAAGTCTACATTAGTATATTCAGTATATGTATGAATTATCAATTATACATAATAGCTATTTCTATTTGATTTAATCCTATATATATATTTTTAAACACAGAAAAGGAATGGCTACTTGACATTAGGAAAGCTTATAAAATATGTAAGAAAATTATATCATATTTGTTATAAAAGTAAGATGTTAGCAAACTTGGAACTTAAATTAATTCTTTGCTCTTTCTTAATATTATTTATCAAAACTATATTCTTTAAAATAATCTATACAATAAAGAGCATATATATGTGTATATTATGTATAATTAATATATGCTCATGTGTGTGACTAATGCTAAGACTGGTATGTCAAATTTAGTAGCTTGTTTACCAAAATATTTGAAAATATAAGAAATGCTGTTTTACATTGTTTTAGGGGCATTGTTACTACAAGTAGCAGACATGAACTTCCTGAACTGACAAGCAGTCATATTAGTACTCCTTTTACTCAATTTGTTAAAAATGATAATTTACACAATGATATTGTAATTTTACATAAATTTAATACTGTATACCTTATATTACAATTTGTAGTATCTATAACATGCATAACATAGTATAATAGAATGCAATATAATCTAAGACCATTTCCTAGTGTTAAATGGAGTAAAATTCCAAATTTTAGGACCCTCCTAGTACTCAGTAAGATGACCCATACCAACAAGTCATTGTAATATTTCAGAACACTCGAGACAAGCAAGATCCTATGAGCTGCCGTGGGAAAAGTACCAAAAACTGTCATGTGTAAGTTACAAAATCCAAACACTTGACCACCCACATAACCTCTCCCCAGGCAGCTACTTCAAGATGTGATAATCCAGAGAGAACCAAAGGGGAGAATAGCAGAGACACAGAAATGCAGATTTAAAAGAGAAGTGGAAGGGATTTCCAGGAGCACTACGGAGAGGGATCCCAAAACATGTGTCACATGCTGAGAGCAGAAGCAGATGGCAGTAGGTCTGAAAATCCTTAGTCAAGCACAGAGCAATGATTGCTATCCTTTCATCCAGGGAAAACAATGAGCTATAGCAGAAGTCAAGGAAAACATCACTGATCAATAAGATCAACAGTGGCTGAGACTGAGTGGTAAGGCAACAAATAGTATGCTCCTAATAAGAATTTTTACATGCTAGGCCTGGTATATCTGTTTAAACAAATACCCAGGCTTCTGATCCTATAAAATGCTTTGCAGAAGACAACAGAAGCCCACTTGAAGAAGAGGAACTCCTCTGTATATATACGTATGCTCCTGTGCCCACTGCTTATATGGAAAAATAGATTGGAAGCTGGTGGGACTAATTATCTTCACGTAGAGGAGCTGAATGAATGGAGGAATGTGGGGTGAGAGGGTCTTACTTTTACTGCTCATTTCTTTCCTTCCTTTTGAATTGTGCATTACATACCTATATTAATATTCAAAATTAAATTAAAAAAAATAAAATTTCTTTGAGAAATTCATTCAAATGCATCTAATCCTTGACCCACCAAGTCCATCTTAAAAATTATCATACAGGCACACTGCACATTACAAACACATTTAAATTGTGCAGTATCGTTCATTTGGCACTTTTATAACAGCAAGTGTGTTAACACAAAAACTGTCCTGCAGCAGCAGCCTGTGATATTAGTCAGTGCATCCACACAGTGAAGCTCTACCAGTCATTAATAAAGTTCAAAAGCTCACTATTACTGATATGAAACTAGACCCACAATAGAGCTTTCAGTGAAAAAGGTAAGGGGTGGAAAGTGTGTTTAGTATACTTCCATTTGTATAAAAAGAGGAAAATATGCATTTGCTTATATATGCTTAAAACATCTGGAAATTCACTTATGAGATTGAAAACTGTCCCCTTTGCAGTGCAAACTGGGTAGGATGATGGTGGGGGCCTCAACATGTGTTCATTTATACTTTAAAAGGTTAATGTGTGTGAATGCATTACCAACATCAACAAATAAACATCTCAATGAGCTTTAATTCTCTATTTCCTCTATTGATCTTATGTTTTTGTTTGTTTTCTCAAATCACAACCAGCAAAGAGCAAAGTTTTACCCAATAAAATATCTGCTGGAAAATGATAAAACATTTGTTGAATAGATTGACACAAATTTTTATTGTTTTACTAAATTTTAGCAATAGAGTGCTTACCATGTATATTTAAGGAAATAACAGTATCTTAAAAATTGAGAACAATTAAGAAGAAAAATTGAGAAAAAATAAGAATAATAGCATCTTAAAAAATTTGAATATGAGATGTTATGTACCCTTATAGTGTGTCACACACACCTTAGCTTTAATCTCAACATGAAGTTATCCATGTATTGTATTGGGATTTTAGGAACCAAGCATTTGCAGTAATAATTATGATGATGATAGTAGCTAACACTGCATACTTCCTTTTATAAGTAGTTTCCATTCATTAACAGGTTTGATCCTATAAAATGAAACTCCATGAAGGTGATACCAGTATAGCTTCCATTAAGCATTAGGAAATCAAGGCAGAGAGAGCTGGAGAACTTGCCTGAGAAGGTCAGACAACTTCATGGCAGAGTCAACTTTCAAATCCTAAGTGTCAGAATTCAGAGTCCAGAGCCATGGTCCTTACCCCAGTTCCCTCGGTTGTCCCCTAACCACAACAAATACTATGGACCAAGTGAAGCAGATAAGACTAGCCCTGCCTCAAAGCACACACTTTCCATGTCAGTAAGAGTGATGTGAGATGATCGCAGCGGTGTAATTTTAGCAGACAACAACACAATACCTATGTACGGATACCTTCAAGTCCAATATTTTTATAATGCTAATTAAAAACAGGTCAATGGGACAATAAGCTCCAGTATATGGACTACATTTTACACAGCAGCTAACAAGCACCCAGGATGAAGGTTCCTCTTGAGGACTCGACTTCCCTTAGTATTATTTTTAGAGAGTCTACAAAGGTGCCCATCTTGCCAATGGTTCTCAGTCCTGGGCAAGTTCACTATGGATTCAGTAAGACGGAGGAATGACAATGGAACATTTTTGGGGTAAAAGGGTTTATTACCCAGCTTTGTTCTGCCAGCATAGGTAGAGCACTAGAATTGCATCTGCATCCAGCAGTCTGCAGGTCTGTAATCCTCCTCCCTCTCTGCCTCCTCCCGGAGCACTGGATAGAGAGCTTTATACAGTGACTCAGTCAGTAATAGCTTATTGCCTGCGGGTGTGGAAGCAGTAGCCTGGCAGCAGGCCAGTTACACCATCAAGCAGTTTAGGTTCAGGTGAGGACCCTGGCCATAGGAACTTCCATTTTCCCCACATGGCCATTATCTTGTATAAATCATAAGCCAAACTGCTTGTCACACACACAGAAAATAATGCCTAGCTGTACAATATTGAAACACGACAGCACTTGCAGGGTGTGCCATTTCCACTTCACTGGCTACTGAATCCTTTGTTACAGATGTGTTCCAATTGAAACACCACCAGTCAGACCTCACCATCCAAGTGTTTGATGTCATCAGCAATTTACTACCATTTGTTTCCAGAGTCAGTATCTTTTCTTCATATTTTCCAATAGTTCTACCAAATGAATTATGAATTTTTTTCCCTAAGAATAATATCTTCATTTATACAGCATGAAATACATTTAGTGAGATTTTACATTTGTTTTTAATATCAAGCCTAGAAGATTAGGTAAAGGATTATTATTTTTTTATAGCTATGGAAACTAAAACACTGAAGTTCAATGATAACCTTAAATTTTATAGCCACAGTAATTGGTACTCATTGATCTAATTGTATTTGCAGTCAGGAATAAATAAAAGAATAATAAATCATAGCAGAATAAATATGATTTTAAATTAGATTTGAATAAAAGCAAAACTAGATTTTGGTTCAAGGCTATTCAGTTGTGTCAAATTATTAATTAGAGCCTGGTTATATAAGTGAATGAGTGAAGGGGAAAGAGGTCTTGGAATGTAAAAAGTTTTATCTTCATTTATGTTTGTGTGCACATATACATACTCATGGGTTTGACAAGACAGAACATGTAATAGAATGTGTGGGGATAAAAGTGGGGATAAAACCCAACAAGAATTCTACAATGTAAAGTAAAACTAACAGAGGGAGACTAAAGAAGAACATGAAGAGAAGATGATCAGTTTAAGTCTAATATCTGATTTATAGAAGTTGTTAAGCAAGAAATAATTTGAAATGGAGAAAATCATTTTTAAAATACAGAAAGTAATTCCTGACACAGCAGGAGAGTTTTCAGAGAGGATGGCCGAGGTCTTAGCTGAATGAATTAAACATACACATATACACATTCACACCAACACATCTTTTAAAATTTAAAATTTAACATACAAAAACAATTATAAGAGCTTTCAGGAAGAAAGCAAAATCAAATAAACGATCAAACAAAAACCAAAAGTTACCACCAAAGGGAAAGTCTCAGCATGGTATCCCAGTAACTCTTAGCAATAATTGATTATGAAATAACATACAGCAAGTCTTCAAAACATTAAGGAAAATGGATTTTAATCTAGTATCCTATGTGTGTTCAGG